CAGGAAAATAAAGATGCGAGAAAATCAAATGTATTAGATGGAAATTTACACGGAAATAAAAGTAGCCAGAAGTGTCGTAATGAAGTGGCATCTACCGAATATAGCAAAATTAATAAGTTGTTCCACTTTATTTCAGAGCTCTGGAGCGTCTAATAAATGGCATACACGACACCTTTTAGTATAATTAAGGCGAACACATGTGTACGATGCATAACTTGATTTACAAGAAAATACGTTAAATACACACAGAAACAGGATCATACTGATATCTGGTTTATGCAAATTGATGGGACTTATGACTTTTCTTTATTTGCGACGGAAAGGCTTTAAATGTACAAAAGTAACTAATCATTTAACAAAAGAAAAAAAACACAGATCACTAATAAGACAGAAGAAGAAATAGAACTAGAACAACTAGCATCCACTACAGTTAGTAGGTCAGAATCATCAGGGGTAGACTGAATTTATACTCTGAGTAAACCATACATTAATTACAGCTTCCCCCCCCCCCCCCCCCACCCACCCTTTCTTCCCCCATGACTGATTGAAATGGGATCGTTCGTAAAATGGTTCAATAAATGTGGGATTGTAGGGTGTATAACAAGTAATTAGTTTCATTAATTACAATTGACGTACGCTATATTGCTGTGTACAGAGGTACCGCGCTCGCTACACATATTCTGTTGTTGTGTCTACATGTCATTTGTCCGACAATATTAAATATATATCGTCGTTTTGTCCCTACCATTTAATATTTACATTTGGTTTTGCACTATGAACGTTTTTTTTTTATCGTGTTGTACTCTCCCGGACAAGTGAAAATCCACACGTTCGGTTGTGGGTGAAGATTACAATACCTACATGGTTTATGTTCGCTAAGAGAGTTACTGGCCACAAAACCTCTCTTATACATTCTATCAGAATGATGACTGATTTGAGTTTAACCAGACTTTACGGAGGTACACAGTTAGAAACGTACTTGGCGATAAGCCAGTCCAAAGCATGACATGATTGGTAACTGAATATAGGCCCGGCTATTTCTTTACAGAAGATGCGATATGCATTAAACAGAGGAAGCAACCTCTTAGGGAAGCAACAATAAACGCTGTGGACTATCACAGTAGATAAATGCCTGTAAATACAGGTGGTGGCATTGTACATTCGACTTGAGGAAATGCTACGATTGTTTCTGAGAAATTTCTCTCCAATTAATATACCTAACGGTATAAGAATTAATTATACTCTGTAAAGGGTATACCTTATCGTTCAGTCTATGTTGACTTTCTCAGAGATTCTATTTTCATCCTTTCTTGGGGAGATGACATTTTCGAGTTTTATTTTATTGAAAACTGGGGATACATGGCATGTCATTTCTTGTATACAATGTTTTCAGGTTTGAGTTTATAAAGGAGGAATACAGATACTATTCCTTTATACTTCAGACAACTCCGCACATTCATTAGGGATACCAGTGAATAAGAGGTTGTTATGCTAATACAACGAGGGAGTTGTATCGTTTTTTTTTTTTATGTCTTTAGAATTATTGACTATTAGTTATTGTATGCATGTCACGTTTTCATTATTCTGCATGAATTTTATGATGTTACTTGTTATGTTGTATGCTTTCATTACGTGGCTAGATGTTCACATAAGGTTTAGTTAGGTAGCGGGTATAATTAGAGTAGTTTTTATAAAATTGAAGATAGGAAACAATTTTGTTAAAAAGTGTGAAGGGCGAATGTAATGAAATACAGGCAGAAAAGGGGTTAAATGAACAAGCATACATTTCAGACCACCACACACGGCGTACTAATCCATCACTGTGTGAAATGACAGAAATAGGTGATTAGAAAGCCATGGCCTAGCCAGCTATGCAGAACACACCGCCATGACATCTGACAGTGAGGGATGAAACATTCGACGAGTGCCCGTGAACTGTGACCAGCGGATGAGATACGTTCATCCAGACGTGACCACCAAAGACAGGTGACAGAGAAGTGATGGAGAAGGTACGCCAGGAGGAGCGGGAAAGCGGGAATAAAGTCAGAGCCAGGGGCTTGAGAAGACAGTTAGCCCCGGGAACCGCTTGAGAGGTTAGTTAGTCCCGGAACCGCTGGAGAGGACAGTTAGCCACGGAACCGCTTGATAGGACAGGTTAGGAGAAAACTAGTGATTTACTTCGTTTAGAAGGTATATGTTAAACTTGGAGTTTAGCTAGAACAGTGGTTAAGGAACTCGTAGAGAGTCATACGAATAGCCTGTATCCAGATAATACAGTGTTCATATACTATTGAATTTATGAAGCCTCTATGACTGGAATATTGTAAATAAACAGCTCTTGTGTAATTGTTACATCACTGGCCTTGTTCTTGAGTACGATTGAAGAGAGATACGAACTATATTCATTCACTTGGCCGACTTAGGCACATCTATTTCTTGGGGGATGTATAGGCACGACTGTGCCACAAGTCAAGATTAAATATTACACTAAAGGGGATCTTCATGCTGTGTGGCGTTGGTAGTCATGTCTATCCACAACCTTCTGTTTCGTATACTTTCAGTCAACTCTGACACAGATGATCTTCAGTGCCTTGATATCAAACCATCCAGCATCATGTCCCTTGGTCTACTTCTGACTGTCTTTCCCTGCAACTTTTCTACTGTCATGATGTGCTCCAGTTTTCTCCTTCTCGTAACATGACCAATGAATGTAGATTGTCTCTTTTTGATGTAGGCAGTCAGTTCTCTGTATGAGGTAGTTTCTTTCAGGACATTTTCATTACTCTTTTTATCTCTCCAGAGTATTCTCATTTCATCCATAAAACCACATCTCTGCATCTTCCAAATAATTTTTCACTAGTCTCCTGACTGTCCATGATTCACTTCTGTATATCAGGATATGATGTATATAGTTTTTAAGATTTCTCTTTCTTGTCTCAATTGACATAGAAAGATTGCATAAAATATTCTTCATTTTGTAAAATGCTGCTTTCGCTTGAGCTATTCTACATTTAATTTGTTTAATACTACTATGATTGTTTGCGCTCTAATCAAATGGTCTGAAACACAACAGGTACTTCAGTAGACAAGCTTGAACAGGAAGAAACTTTGAGAAGCACTGAACAGCTGATGAGGACTCAATTTATTATTCAGTGGTGTCCTCTCAATTAAACAATGCGCCAGAGTTTCATCGTCGGGGTGACCTAGCTATGTTCATACGCATCTACTTACTTACATCGACTATGCAGGATTCTCACTGTCAATACATCTCACGCTTGTACTTCATGGCTCCCAAACCTGCATTTACAAATTGCACAGCACAGCTGACATTCTCGCCTCCATTCCGTGTTGTCATGGATTGACCCATTACAAATACATCTTCCATCTGTTGTTATCAAGGTATCCAATTATTTAATGAAGGGGATAGCAGAAGTATAACAAATATATATTTTATGGATACAGTAAACAAGTTGCTATTTGCATATGATAAGTGCCTGTTCTAGAATAAGGGAGGTAGACTGCAAGAACATTTGAACAGGCTAAGTTCAACATGCAAAAGATATAACAAGAAAACAAATATTGCTACAACTGAAGTAAAGCAGAATTTATAGTTTGCTACATCTAGGGTTGAATGGTACTTGTCTGAAGCATGTTAAAGAATTTAAATATCTGAGAAGTAAATTTTTGGAAGACTGGAGAATAGATTAGGAAATAAAAACAATATGCTAACGAGCCAATGCACATATATAAACCAACCGACACTGTTATTAAGACATCAAAACATAAGTATGAATGCTAAGAAATAGATTATAAACAGCCACCAGTGCCAGACTTAGGCATTATCAAAGACCAACCTGTGTAAAATTAACACCTGTGAAATGAGAAGCCTGAGAAAAACCAGCAACTTAACCATCCGAGACAAAGTTAGAAATGAAATTTTGTGTGTAGAAACAACACAATGCAGCAAATTCATTGGCAAACAGAAGATCAAGTGGTTTGGTCATTTAGTAAGAATACGGCCAGAACAACTACCAATGCAGGCGCTACTTATGAAAAGATCTGAAGTGAAATCAAGAGGCCGCCCTAGGAGAAAATGGATTAATGACATTAATGAGCTTCTACATTGACAGGGAATGACAGTAGCCATTGCCACCCATCAAGCAATGGATCTCAAACTGTTCCCCTCTATGTCTATACCGTATATGCTCACGACTAGCATAGGTGTTCTCACAGTGTGAGTATTCAAGGAGAACCATGTTAAGGAGACCTTTGCCGGGTTTACCTGTGCGCTTGATTCCTGGCACCACTCACTGAGTGGGTCTAATTCATGCTGTTGTGTTGTCGTAATTTCATCCATGTTGTTTCCTTATCAGCACGCAAGGATGTCTGTGAATGACATTGTTCTGCCAGACCTACTGTCTATGCACTGGTGACTACTGATGTGTTCACTTTAAAGAGAATGGGAGACAATGGTGATCCCTCAGGCAAGTCCATTAAGACCCGCTGAGGTTTTGATGGCCACACACCACATCACATTGACACTGCTCTTTTGAAGAACACTGTTGTGATCCTATTGACCCATTTTGTCTCTGTGTGCATGTCCATCATCAATCTTATGAGCATGTTCCAAATGTTAATCTGTGCATTAGTTTTAAAGTATTTGTTATCGTCATATTCTCAGTACACCTCAAGGTGTCGAAAAGGATCATATACCTGAATATATTGAATTCTTTGTATACTATAGAGCCTTTTCAAGCCTACACACAGATGGCCATCCTTTGTCTGCTTACTTACTTGTATATTATATAGCTTTTTCAAGCCTGTACACAGAAGGCAGTCATTTATCTGCTTATGTATTTGTATGTTTTACAGCTTTTTGAGGTCTATATACTGATGACCATCCATTATCTGCTTGTTTACTTTTATATTATACACATTTTTTTCAGGCTTACACACATATGGCCATTCTTTATCTCTTTACTTACTTGTATCTTATACAGCTTTTTCAGGCCTGCACACAGATGGCCGACTTAGACTTGGGGTACTGCAGCAGGATTGCAGTAGCCTCCGAGTGTGAAGTTTTATGGACCTTGCCACAGTCTTTGACTTCCCTGTCTTTGTGTGGGTTGATGCTGCAAGATGGAGAGATACTGGTGGAATCAGTGACTCGCTTACCTCACCTGACCAGCATCAAGCTGTGTGGAGTTCCGGCTCTCAGTGACGATACATTGACCAGAGTAAGTTGTTGACAGTACGAGGGCTATTCCAAAATCAACCTTCGATTGGCTGGTAAAAATGTCTTGATGTTTTATAAAACTTGTTTAAAGACTGTTTAATGCAGTTTTAAATGGCAAGTAACATATTATAAATATAATTATGTCATTATGTCTCTACATTAGTTCAAAATAGTAAATCATTGTACATTTGTAAATTTTATGTCTTGGCTTTGACAAGGTAAAATGATTAATGTTCATACTATTCCTTTGATCTTTAGATTGTAGAAAAGATAGGCCACAGGCTGGCAGATCTGAATTTGAGTGGGATTGGATCTCATGAGATCACAGATGCTGGACTCAAGTCTGTAGCCAAATACTGCACCATGCTGAAGTCGCTCCACATCAGTCTGCTGCGCCAGGTGACAGGTGTAACTCTCCTGCCATTGTTCGTTGATCGTGACAGAGCTTCAAGAATACAGAAACTCTCGGCCAACTGCAAGCTGGTAATTTTTGCAATGTTACATCAACATATAATGAAACATAATAAATTTCGGTTGAAACCTGTGACTACCGTGCAAAAAGGTAGGTCTGCTAGCTGTTGCATCATTGTGGTACTCAAGTCACTAGTAAGAAAGATGGATTTATTTGTATTTAGACACAGTGACAAAAATATCACTTTTTGCACCTCAAATAATATCTACAGTTTAAAAAAAAAAATTATACCCTCACCACATCTATATACGAAGCAGTTGCAACACAACCAGGACTGTTGTATGGGCATATTAGCTACTGTCCAAAGACATCTTGTCATCAAAAATTTGTGAAAAAAAAAAGAAAGTTTTTTCTTGTGATAACAGGGTTAAAGAAGGTGGACAACAAGAGAGATTCTTGATGGTCTCTTGTCAAGGCACTGAAAGGTGTAAGAACATGGCATATTATATGCTGTATATAGAGTAGAAAGTTCCTCATATCACTGGTTATAACCTTGTTAGTCAGGATTTGATGGACTATACCTTAACTATGCAGCAGTGCCCCCCCCCCCCACCTCCCAAACCCACGATCCCAATTATCTCACCACTAGAGCTAACAGAATACAAATTTTTCTTTTTTTCTGTTTTGTTTGTTTTTGGTATAAAGTGACTTCAAAATAAAAAGGAATATGAACAGGTCCAACAAGTGTTATCATCATCTTCGCCATGTTTTTGTGGCAATAAGCTTGTGCAGTCATGGTTTGCCATTCTACACAATCAGTCTTGGATCAAGACTGTGTTCTTGTTCAGATTATGGACAAGTAAACTAATTATATAAATCTTTATCTTTCTTTTTTCTTGTTTTTTCATGAAGTTTGACAGTTGTCATTATCGCTCTGGCCAACTTCACTTCTCAAATCATTTCCTAATATTAGTTTTAGACTAGGTTTAGGTTATTTTGATAACCTCATTGGATAATAGTGATAGTGTAACTTGAACTAAATTATACATTTATTTTCAAAGAAAAAAACTAACAGAATTGCTAATTCATGAATGAAAATTCATAAGAAACAATTCGTAACTGAGTCAGTACAAATAGTGTCACAGTGCATGGGTGAAACAGTTCATAAATGAATTAGTATTTATGTGAGACAGTGTATGAATGATAAATTACATAAATGTGACAGTATATGAGTGCAGCAGTACATTGCTGAGATAGTTTAAGTGGAAAATAATTTTTTTTAACAATGGAAAGTGTACGTGGTGATTACAGCTGTTACCTACAACATGCCTGACCACTGTTAGTGAGATAGTTTATACGTCAAACAGTACATGAGAGAGACAAGTTGGCAATGAGTAAGACAGTACATGAATGAGAGTTGATAATACAGAAATGTAACTTGTTAATAGTCGGCTCTGTGGCTAAGTCGATGCGAACGCTTCGTAATGCCGGGATGCCGGGGTCAATCCCAGCTGTGGGCCATGCGCCTTGCGTTAGTTTTGACAGTGGTATCAAGAAAGCCGACCGTCCAGAAAACAATGGCAAACTACTGGACGTAAATTTGCCTAGAAAAACCACACAACAGCCAGGGGCTGTTGGAGTTGGTTCTGCAACGTCCTGTAAAGGATACGCAACTAACCTAAACTTGTAAATACATTATTGAGGTATGTTAATTCACCATTAAGAGATCTTACTCAATATATAAATGATATTCTACCTTCTTTTTACCTATTTATGAGAGTCTTTTGCTGAAAAGATGAACTAGGTTCTTTTTCTACTCTGCATCTTTTGGTTTAGTGGTGCAGTTTGTAATGAGATCCCTATTGGTTTCTGCTGGAGCTAGGGAGTTAGTACTTTGTGCAACACTGATGGCAAATGCTAGCTGTTGTGTAGAGAAAACAAGAGAGAGAGAGAGAGAGACCTGGCCTAATGAGTACAGAACTCAGTTTAGTGATATCAGTACTTTAAACATTTTAAAACAAATTTTACTTGCTGATAGCATCTTAAAAGTAATTTATGCTTAATTTTAATTGTTCCTGTGAAGCAATGTATGCTTTTTTTTTAAAAATCTTTCCTAGATGGATGCCAGCACTCTGGATCAAATCATGTCCAGTTGTCCGGATCTGAGGAAGCTGGATCTGTCTGGTCTGAGTGTGGTCAATGATACAATGATTATCAACCTGGCTGACCATTCACCAAAGCTGACCCAGCTGAACCTGAAAGGTTGTAAGCAGGTAGGCACAGATATCAGCATTGGGCAGAAGAGTGAAGAAGCTGGGAACCTGGCAGTGATGGGGTTTTGTTTTAGGATCACACTAGTTTACAGAACAGTTTACTGTGCAGTCAAAAAAAGTAATCAAATTGTTTTGAAAGAGGATAAGACTTATATTTTTCCTTGCATAGTTGATGAATAGTTGACAGGGCGATATGCTTTCCTGCATATATTAAGTTTGAAATTGATTGTCATCTTATACCCGGAATATGATTAAAATATTTATTTCTTAATTTTTGGCTAAAAATAATGCGGACGTTTTATACAGGGACAAGTTCGGGTTCTTTTCAGCTTTTTCACCCCATCTCATCGGCTGCGAGATTTGTTAGGGAATTCCTAGGGAATTTCCCGGAAGATCCTATAGTATATGGATGTTAAGGTTAGTTTTAATCAGTGTTAATTTAATAGTAATCCTACAACACTAAACCTGCAATGGTCTAGGTGTCACATGTTGGTTGTTTCAGCATGTTGATCGTTTATTGCGTCATTATTTCCAGTGTGTACTACTTTTGTTCGTAACCGTTACTGTACCCTTTTTGCAGTGGTATTACTTCGTGACGTCAACCTTCGCTGTGAATTTCTTTGACCTGTTAGCATTCCTACATCTAACCCTAAATGATGAGCATGCATACATAGAGACTGTTGCTCCTTTTCAGGGCTCCATCCCGCCAACACCCCAAGATGGCCCTTTTTAGGGCCTGCCCCAAAATATTCATAATTTGCGTCCCCCTGCCTAAGGTCTGCTCAAGAGAAACACTGGTTCAAGCTGACTATCACAGATCGATAAGTGAATTACAGAATACAGTGAAGTTTGTTCTAGAGACGTCACTGCAGATATAGATAATCCATTTCTGGCAAATAAAAGAAGAAGAAGAGGAAACTAACACTAACCTTCCTATACTATAGGACCTTCCTAGGAATTCACTACCAAATCTCGCAGCTGACAAGATGGGGTGAAAAGGCTGAAAAGTACCAAAATACGGTAACGGCAGCTCATCAGAAAAAAAAAAGCGGTCTACTCATTACATGCACAAAAAACATGATATGTGAAATGCATACAGTCATACATACACACATCACGCACATACATATATACACACAAATACCTGCATGCAAATAAAGTAAGTCGAAGAGAGAAGATTCTTGACATTTTTTTTGGGTCATGACACTAAAAGGTATCAACACACAAATTGAGACATACTGTCAGAGACATTGTTACACATACGCAGGCATTCAAAATGGGCTTTGTGAAGAAAGTTACATTTATTGTTTTGCATGATTGTGAATAAATGTATTTTGGCTGTTTTACGTTATAATACAGAAACTAAATGAAATGTCAGGGAATTTATTGAGGATCCAATGGTTTGGACATCTTACTTTATTGCAGCAACACCATGTACCACCCAGGCACTCATCATCTTCATGTAGTAGGTTCTTTACAAAAGACACTTCCATCTTGGCCCGCCTGAAAGAAACTTGATGCCTCACCAGTTCTTGCACCTCATGCACTTTCCTGCCCATGGTGTCTCATAAATCATGTGCCTATCTTTGTGCTGGCCAACCATTGTCCCTCCTGCCCGGTACTATAACCTCTGATACTGTTCTTTCCAATCCACTGTGACATTTGATGTGGCCAAGGTATTTCAGTTTCTGAGACAAGATGCTGTTTACAAGCCAATTTTCCTTGATGCTCAGATCTTTTAGGATGTCAGTTTTTCTTCTTTTCCTGGCCCACAGTATCCTGAGAATGTTTCTATAGCACAACCTAAGAAAATCCTATGTTAGTATTCCCAGGGAAATAATGAAGACATTGTACATTCACATGCCAAGACAATTATCAGTGCAAGCCATCACTGCTGTCTGCTTCTCGTGATGTTTGACCTAGAAAAGGGGAAGCTGAAAATTATTATTTTGTGCGCACGCGCACGCCTTTCTTCGTGTTCACTAGCTGTAAACTGGTGGACAGTTTTGATTGTTCATCCACGTCTGGACTTTGGTTTTGTTACAGAACTGGAGTTTTGCATATACAACCGTTTTACAGATCTGCGCTATTAGTATGCAGACTGTTTACTCCTTGTCTGTCATATGGATGCACACCATCTGTGGAGGAAACCCCTAATTAGTCAGCTCTTATGACGTGCTTGCTAGGGAGGTAGTTGGTTTACTCTTCCTTTTCCCCTTCCGCCACAATGGGGCCCTGGAGCCCACACACTGTTTTTGTAAATGCCAGTGTCCTTGATGCTGATGGAGTATTTGGTGTCAAACTTTCAGGTCACAGATACAGCAGTCTGCCACTTGAGTGGTTGCTGTCCCTTGACCAGCCTGTGCCTCTCAGGTCTGCATTCCATCACTGACAAAAGTATGTTCAGCCTAGCCAGCAGCTGTCCTCATCTGAAAGAGATTTATCTCAATGGTTGTGCCAACGTCTCACCTGTTGCAGTGCAATACTTGAAGGTTTGTTCTTGCCTGTTGTAGTTTAGTCTTGTATTATGAGTGGCACAGTGTATTTCATGTTATTTATTGTATGTTGTTTACTAAGTGGTTTTTTCCTAGGTAAAAAAGAAAAGTAATTAGATAAAATATATTCATATTCTTTTTTTTCTTCTTCTCCTGGCCAGTGGTTACAGATAAAAAGGCCACATGCCTCTGTGAAGGCTGTACTGCAGTGCATGCTCCCCACTGAATCATACAATTAGGTTTTGCCAGAATGCCAACTGGCCAGATGTCAGAATCTTTATACTGCATAAAGAGATTAGTATCAGTATTCTGCAGTGTTTGTCTACAGGGGCAAACTTCTTAGTTGCCAGTCTTGAATTTCATGGAAATCTGGCAGCAGGGACTCTTGAGTCTAGTTTGCGATCTAAATAAACTTGTCTGCTTCTTTCAAGTTAGAAGGTTGAAGCTGGTCTTCCAGGTTGGGGGTTGAAGTGATGGCTCCCAAGTTTGAAAAACATATACATGCCAAGCAGATTTTTACAGTTCAGATACATGCCAAGCAGATTTTTACAGTTCAGATACATACAAACCTGGTAGAGCTCATCATCTGGAGACAGCAATCCATTCAGAAGGAACTATAATCACAAATCTCCATTGTCCAATGGAAAGGTCTTGCTTGACCATGGACTTAGTAAGCTTATATTAGTAGAAAATAATGCTGAGTTGGTGGTGCTGGGCCGAAAGGCGCTGATCAGCCAGAAAGGTGTCACAGACGAACCTAAATACTATAGCACCATGCAACCCCTCCCTGTAATTATCATGAATATTCTGAAACATAACAAAATATTATGTGTTATGTGTACACTATAGTTAATTTCCTAAGTGTGTGTCTCCCTCTGGTTTGTGTACTGAAAAAATAACAACTGCCACTCCTGTCAAGTAGCATCCATTGCCAGCAAATGGCACCATACAGTTTGTCTTTATTTTGGGACCAGGCTAGGCAGTTCCACCATGCAGTTATATTTGGATATCAGCTATGTGATGTCAGGATACTGCAAGAAACTGCTCCTGCCTGAGAGCCCAGCAGTCTTAACATTTCTAATGTCAGTATACAGTGTGTCTTGGGGGGGGGGGGGGGGGAGGGGAGTGGGCTAGGCAATGTCACCATACATTCTTGGGAGAAGCGGGGGTTTGGCTCAATAATGTCACTATTCAGTGTGTCTTTATTTAGTGAATTCTAGGTGCTGAGTGAGGAGTATTGTCTGGATTTTTTCACCAGGTTACGCCGGTGTGTTGGGAAATGAACAGGCGGCCAGACTGGCTGCCTCTGCACAACTTGGTGGAATACTGATACATGATAGGGCAGACATGGTTAGTGCCTTGTGGGAGAGCGTGTACAATGCGGAGGAGCAGATGGATCACCACAGTCTGGTGAGATTGATGCAGTTGGGGGTGACGAGAGGTTCTGACAGAAGCTCAAGGCTCAGAGGAAAGGCAAGACGGACGTTTAATCAGAAAGCTACTGGCACCATTAGTATCGGAACTCTTCGCTGGCTGCTGAAGATGGGGACGGAGTGCTTATGGGAATGCCGTGAGTGCTGTGATGTCGGTTCTTGAATCAAATCAAATCAAATCAAATCTAGGTGCTGTCATCATACAGTTCATCTCTATTTAGGGTTGAGAAGAGCAGTGTCACCATACAGTTTGTGTTAATTAGGCCTAACCCAGTTCGAGTACATGAAGTGTCAATGTTGATACATTTCTCTACATAGCCGTTGCATAATTTATCTGAAGATAATCCAGCATTTGTTTCCTCCCCAGGATTGTTGTCTTCACAGACTGTTTGCAAAACACAACATTCCGAATGCAAGCCCCAATCAGCTTATGGCAAAAAACTTAGATACTGGAGAGTTTTGTCGAGCTGATCTGCTTTAGCATTTGACATTCTGTTTTTATGTGATGTCGTAATGTTATGTGAGGTGGCTTACCAAATGTGATGGTTTGCAAACAGAAATCTGGGTTGAAGTATCTGTGATTATTTTTTTTATATATATTTGTTAAAAAAAATTCTTGATCATTAAAATTCATCATAAACAGTTTGTATTTGTTATAATAAATTGAACTCACAAAACAGAATGAAGTTAGGTGAATAATATCACAATAAACAAATGTAACAAAATGTTTAGCCTTCAAAAAGGATATTTTAAAAATTTTTTAAGGAATTTGAAATTTAAAAAAAATGAAATCTGACTAATAACTAACATCCCTCAGATGCTGCCTGCTGCCTCGAAATAAAAGGCCTGTAGCAGAAATGTGCATCTAGCTTTCTTTGTGAATATTATGCGGTAATGCCTAATCTCTTCTATGGTGTAGATTTTGAGCCACTATCCAGAAGTCACGGGAGTGATTTGTGTTTTTTTAATAACTGAATTCTGGAACTTAGAAAATAGTATGTTGTTGATTAACTGTCAAACACTACATGTTGGCTGAAATGCCAGTGCTGACAAAAATATAAAATGATGTTTCAGAACTTGCTTATGTTCAGTTTGAGGTAAATTCCATTTCTGGCAAGAATAAGGAATTAGTTTAAAAAACAAACAAAAAGAAACACTAGATCAGATGTGGAATTCACAAAGTATACATTATGCTCTAATTGTGGAAGACTTTTCTTGATGGTCACACTCACCATCGTCATTAGTTGTGATTTCTGTGCCTGTAGCTCACTAAAACACTTCTTATTCCTTTCTCTGCTCCTGGATTGCCTCGCGGCGTCCTTCCATCACTGCTCTCTCAAGACTACCATGGTGCTTCACATGTCCAAAATATCTCAGCTTTCAGGAGAAGATACCCTTTCTTCTTGATGTTCAGGTCATGCAGAATGTCATTTTTTCTTCTTCTAGTGTTAGATTTTGTAGGCAATTTCATGAACTCTGAATTCATAAATATGTGTGAATGTTTAGTTATAGTTTTTTAAATTGCATTTTACAGTGGGAATCATGTGATTGTCAGCATTAGTGGCTTAGGCATTGCAAACGAGCTTCGTAATGCGGGGTGTCAGTTCATTCCAGCTGCAGGCTTTGTGCCTTGCATTAGTCTTGACAGTGGTATTGAGAGCTGACCGTCCAGGAAGCGATGGCAAACTACTGGACGTGAATTTGCCTAGAAAAACCACAGCTGCCAAAAAATGCATGGGTTGGTTCTTCAACGTTCTATAAAGAATATGCAACTAACTTTTTATCATTTGATTCAGATTCCTTCATTTTCTCTTTATCTTTCAGTCTTTTTTTCACACAGCTCTTGCTCTGCTGTCTGTCAATATGTTCAGAAAATGATTTGATTTGATTCAAGAACTGACATCACAGCACTCAGGGCATTCCCATAAGCGCTGTGTCCCCATCTTCAGCAGCCAGCAAAGAGTTCTGATACTAATAGTGCCAGTAGCATTCTGATAAAACGTATATTTAAGAAAAATGAAAATGTAATTTGGTAATCAGATAATGGCAGTTGCAACATCACAGCAAACGTGTCAACCCATTATTGCTATGTTTCTGCGTCAGTGAAAAACTACACAGTATGCACATCACTGTCCCTTGTGAAATAATCGACACAGACTGCAGTCTCAACAAAGCCTGTAGCATACACACTCATTAAATGCAAAAGATAGTCATCAGAAGTGCCAACACAAACAGTCCTGCACAAGAAATACACTTTGTCCTCGATGGAAGCAGCAGTTACGACAAAGTGAAAACAGTTTACTGTGGCACTTGACTGCAAAGGGAAGTAAGGACTATGATGACATGTCAGTTAGAATGCTTGCCCATCAGAACAGTGGTCTTGGGATTATTTCCCAGTTGTGGCAGGGCTGCAAGAGATGTGACAAATATGGTTCTGGAATGACAGTCTCGTGACAGAACATCAGAGATCTGGGTGGGAAAAGTGTGAGTCAACCCAGAGCTATGGCAGTCAAAGGAAATAATCCCAGGACCAAAGCTTGAAGACAGACGATAGTCTGGGATCGTCACAGAAGCTACAGAGTTGTGTGCTTTGTGCAGTACTTTCAGTGGGTAAACAGTCACTCTGCTGTGATAAATTAAGCCATATGAGACCAAAACCTGACTCAGTATTTATTCTTTTTACCATTTAAACTCTTTTAACACCCTTTCATACTGTAAATATAAAAGATTGGCAGCAGAGAGGACACACAGATACAATGTAATAGAGCCAGAGGTCGTCCACACTGAACATGTACTGCAGAAATATCAGAAATACTGAAAAGTACTATACATGAAGTGAATAGAAGGACCCATTCAAGAGATCTCTTCCTGTCCTGACACTACGAGGCATTTCAGAAAGTAAAGAAAAGAATATAAAAGTTGTTGCTTAAAGTTGTCTAGTACAGTGGCTCCCAGTTAGCAAAGACTTGAGAGCCCCTCTTTATTTACAAATGTCTGCCACGGACCCCATATTTTTTTATTGTCAGACTGAAGAGCTTTTCATAAAATATTAGAAGTGCAAAAAAGGATTCCATTAGAAATATGAGTTTTTTTTTTTTTTTTTATGAATGGCGTAATTAACCTATTTACATTTATTTCACGGACTATCAGAAGGAGGCAGTCATCATTTTTAGGCCTCATTATAGGATGAGGGGAAATAAAACATGTTGTGACCACTAGAAAGATGTGTGGAAGGAGGGATAGAGGAAGACAGCGAGAGAAGATTCGTGACAGTCTTGTTGTATGGCATGGAGGTGTGTCGGCACATGAACTGATACATGCTGCAGGAGATCGCAGATTATGGAGAGGCATGATCGCCCACGCCAGTCTGCAAGGCACCTGATGATGACGATGTGATCAGATGTGAAAGTTTATCTAGTACTATATATAAGAATCTATCACATTTAGTGACAGAACACCAGTTTTATGCCTGTATCAGCTAAGCTTCTTGTCACAGTGTGCGTCATTTCAGTCAAAATGATTTTATATAACGTCAGCCATATGCTCCTTCATCATCATTATCATTACCCTGTCATCTCACGGTCTAGTCCTTCATTCTGTCCTGAGCTATCCGTTTGATGTTGATAGAATCCTGTCCCGCACATTTAGCTTCTTTAGCAACATTGGTTTTTCTGGGATGTCCTTGTTTCATCAGGCCCTACAAACTCACAGGAGGTGGCTCACAGTTCTCAAATCTTCACTCTTGCAGATGTGTTGTTTGTTATTATTTAAAGTAACAACTTTGTACGACAGAGTAATGATTGTCTGGCACTGACAGAGTGAAGACATTACATTTATCATATCATCAAGTTCTTATGTATCTAAATCTTCCATCTAAAACCACATAGATGTCTTGTGACAGTTGTGATGTTTTAGAAAATCTGCAAAATGTTGTTCCATGACCATCCAATAAAGTGCCTGCACTCTAATGAATTTGGGTGTTTTCCTTTATAGAAGGGATATTACCCAATGAACACAACACATACAAATATTGGAAGCAGCTATAGTTTTAGATAGAAAATATTTGACAGAAGTTAAGTGCAGAGTAGGTCAAGCCTATATGGAGATTAGTTCAAGCCTACATGGAAGTGAATCATGGACACTTGGCCAGTTAGTGAACAAATTATGGGGATGCGACAGAGATATGGTTTTAAGACAAGGGTTGTGAACATCCTGGACAGACATAAACAGTGATGAGAATGTCTTCAAAGATAATGACACATGAAAAGAACTGATTGCTCACATTAGAAGGAGACAATCTACGTTCTTTGGTCATAAAAAGGAGAATATTGAAGTACATCCAGATGGTGGGAAGGTTGGAGGGCAAAAGAGGGAGACAGAGAGTAGATGCTGTTCAGTTTGACATTATGGCATAAATGATAATTTTTGTCAAAATTAATTATAAGTACATGAGTCAGAAGGTTGTGGATAGACATGACTACCAACACCACACAGCATAGACTATAAAAAGAAGAAGGCCAAGCCAGAGATGCATTTCAAACAGTGAAAGGTATCTTATGTAAGTAAACTGCTGCATGTGAAATCTATACAAATGTGGAACCCCTCAGGTTGCGGAGAGGAAAAGCCACTTTAGAAATTTATGAAAGATGCGTTAGAATGAATCATAACCATCCTAATAGACACCTTATAGAAAACTGGGAATACAAACAAAGAATAAAGCACAAATCGGTTTTACACTGTGTTAATGAAATTCAGGACAGATACCACCTCCCAGAAAGACGTCAAGGCATTTAGAAAGTTTGCAAGAAACCTACCACCACATGCTCGCTTTAAAGCTCCAGAAGTCCAAATTAAATTGGTAGGCGAGGAAACCAAACAGTCCGACCCAATCGCTCTCATGAATTCATCACTAAAGACCGTTGATTCTTACCCCCAAGAATGGATACATGTCTATACTGATGGATCAGCATTTAAAGCTACCATTAAAGCAGGTTACGGAATCTACATAGGTTATTCCAATGGATCAGTTGAAGAGATTTTTGATGCATGCGGGGAATTCTGCTCGAAATGAAGCCGAAATAATTGCACTGGAAACAGCAGTATACCACCTAAAGACTGTAATGGATGTTTACCCTTCAAAGGCCCAAAATATTGTCATCTTCACAGATTCAATGTCTGCCCTTCAAGCTCTGGAGGGCTGTGAACGCTGCAGAACTGACATAGCCAAGATAATGCTGGATGCTGATCAGCTTATTACTTCATACAACATCAGAATAATGATGCAGTGGATTCCAGGCCACTCTGACACACCAGGTAATGACAGACCTGACAGACTAGCAAAGAAAGGAGCAACACAAGAACAACCACCTACAGTGACAACCCTACAGACAGCAAAAACACTTATAAGAGGTTTAAACAAAGAGACTTGGTTTAACAAATGGGCCATGGGAGACACTGGAAGAGAGGTTTATAGACATATTG